AAAAAAAAAAAAAAATATGTACCGATTTCAAAGCGTACAATAAAATAAAAATCGTATTCTGCCTTTTCGTAATCGCGATTCCCTTCGAAATTTCTTCTTCCCTGAAATAAATTAATTTCTTTCTTTCATCGTCGATCGAATTCGTATATTTCCTCTCGTTCCAACCAGATCGATTCAGAGATATCGAAAACCCGATTTCGATCGAGAAACTCGTGTTACCGATAACGCGAACACGACAAATGTCGTTTCGATCGGCGAATAATCGAAGGATCACGGCTCCCCAACGAAGATATAACCACTCGAAAACTTTATCGTTCACGCATTGCTCTCGACCAAGTGTGTACATAAGAAGTTCATTTACGCATTACATAATTTTCCTCCAACGCAATTACACATTGTACACCTCTCGTTCTACTCCCCTCCAATTTATCGTCCAACCTTGATTCGGTGTGTACGTACGTTGTGTACGTACCTCTGCAAACACGGATCGGTTATTAATGGGAATGGCAGACAGATAGGAGAAGAAGAAGCGTGGCACGAGCTCCGCTTTTATCGAAATCGACGATCGTCTATCTCGATCACGTCGTCCCCTCTCCACTTCCCTCCGCGACGCCACGAAAGTTTCACGTGAATCATATTGACCGTCTCTCTCCCCCCTCTCTCTCTCTCTCTCGGCCATGTACGATTGCATCGCCTTCTCGAGTCTTTGCACGCGTTTACACGCATCGTTTTCCTTCAACGTTTTTTTCCCTTTCATTTTACTTTTCCAATTACGTAGCGTTGCGGCCCCGATGAACTTGACGACGATTTCTTTCCTTCCTCGTTTCATCGAATTAAATTTTCCATCGATCGTCCACTGATGGAACGTTTCTTCTTTCTTTCTTTTCTTTTCTTTTTGTTAAAAAGTATTATGAGATGATAACAACAAGAGCGTATAAATGAGATCGTAATATTTAAATATTTTATTCTCGATCGGACAGGGATTCTTTCTTTCGAGGGTGGGGAAAATTTTTATTGGAATAAAAATTCTTCCAACTTTATTATAATACGTGGAAAATGTGAAAAGGAATTCGAGATATTTCCCCCCATTTCTCTCCCTTTCCTCCTCCCTTTCCCTCAATATTCCAATAATTTTCCACTTGAGCTGCAATTTTTATTCTCTTACCGAGGATTAACGTTAAAAGCACATTTCGAGCAAAACAAAAAGATATACGCGTAAAGTGCGTAGATGATCGATGAAAAATAATATTTTACAGGCTCGTAAGACGAA